ATCATCACCTGGTCGTGAGTTGGATCCGCTGGCAGGGGAAGAAGCCGGTCAGACCTGGCAGGCCCAAGCGTATAGTGAGGGTCTGCTGGGAACGTCTCGCTGAGCCCCCTGTCAGACGGACTTTCAACTCACACTTCCGGCAGAGCTTCTCCCAGGACCCAGAGGAGGGGGACATTGAGTCCGAGTGGACCATGTTCTCTTCCTCTATCACCAATAAAGCGGCTCGTAGCTGTGGTCGCAAGGTCTCTGGTGCTGGTCCCGGCGGCAATCCCCGAACCCGGTGGTGGACACCGGCAGTAAGGGATGCCGTCAGGCTGAAGAAGGAGTCCTATTGTGCAATGATGGTTCGTGGGACTCCTGAGGCAGCTGTCCAGTACCGGCAGGCCAAGCGTGCCGCGGCCCGGGCTGTTGCAGAGGCAAAAACCCGGGACTGGGAGGAGTTCGGAGAGTCCATGGAGCATGACTATCGGTCGCCCTCAAAAAGGTTATGGCAAACCCTCCGGCGCCTCAGGAGGGGGAAGCAGTGCTTTGCCAACACCGTGTATGGTGCGGGTGGAGAGCTGCTGACCTCGACTGGGGATATTGTAATCCTAACCCTAACCCGGAGATGGTAGCCTTGAAAAACCCCATGCATTGCAGAGCACAAGACTGCATTGGAAAAGCCTGTGTCCGATGCATGACATGCAATGTGTACCTGTGCTTGCAAAGTGAATGCAACTGCTTTGCAGCATTTCGCACTTGCCAATAGGGCTCTTCCAAACAGGCAGACAGATTGCTTTCTAGAAAAACAGAGGGAGCTAGTTTGAAAAAAGCCCCAGTTCATAAGCTGTTCAGCAGAATTTTACTGTTTTAGGACTGTTAATAATATTTGCCATTATTTGTTCTAGTATTGTATTTATCAATTCAATTCAGCCATATTGAAGGCTTGAAATAGACAGTTTACACAGTATTTTGCGGTTTTATTTATGTATAGCCAATTTTTTGTCATGTGGATGAATGAAGAAAAAGGGAACCCAAATTGCAGGACTGAAAATCAAAGTAATTTAATAAAATAAATCCAAGGTAATGTAAAAACAGAACTGAAGACAGGACAAACATTGTGGAGACAATGGACGGACAACAAGTGAGGAAGGGCACAGGGTATATATACACACACAGGGACACACAGGTGAATCACATTAGGGCGGGGAAACAATCAACAGGACAGGCAGGATTCAAACTCAACCAGGTCAAAATGTCCACACCATGACATTTTTAGGCTTTGAAGATAGAGCTGTTTGGATTTTATGTCTAACTTTGATGTTTACATTTTTCAAATAAACTGTTATATACTATTTTAGACCAATGGAGTCTATTTGTATTGTATAGTAAGGTCGACCCACTGTCCTCATGTGAGGACATTGATTTTTGAGAGAAGTACTAATTGGATCAAGCTGAAATTTTGAATTTCAACTAATTAGGACCTTCCGGCCTAAAAGATCATACATTTTCTCTTTAGGTTATGAGAGACCCACTGTCCTCATGCGAGGACATGTTTTTTCTCAAAAACTACTTCCTGTACAAAATCACAATTTAGGTATTATACTTATTGGGTCCTACTTATCCTAAATAGCAAAAAAATATATAAAATGCACACCAGACAAATGCTCGGGTCTCAGGAGGTTATACTGTATATTCGAAGCACAGATTTCCTGAGTGGCCACAGTCATATGGATGCTTCTGGAGGAGCAAAGTCTAAAAAAAATTAAATAATGAAAACACACTAAAAGCAAAAAAAGTATAAAAAAAACCATATTGTGTTTAATTGATAAAGTTAATTCAAGTTAACGCAATTGTTGCACTTAATTTACTTAAAATGTAAATGATTAAATCCATAATATACATACGTTGAAAAGGTTACCTCTATCAAATGAATCCAACCAAAACATTACATTTTCTTATGAAATGAAAACAGCATGTTCAGATTTGAATTCAGATTCAGATTATTTAAAGTAAAACCACATATTGCATAAGTAGCCCAGTGTGCACCAGACAAGTGGTATATACAGTACAAGGAGTTAACAGTATAAGTTTGGTGAAATGCTCCTGCAAAATCAAAGTATCACTGTAAAATAATATACAAGCTAGTAAAGTTACATTGCACCTTGACGCTACGACCACAATAAAGGGATCGCTTTTGGGAAAGCTTTTGCCCATTTGACTTTAGTAATACAGCTATTTTGCTTTCAACATCTCCACTTTCCCGTCTTTCCTTCTCCCTATATCCCCCTTCTCCATTTTTGCTGATTGCTTGGCACCATTAATATTTCATGTAATGTGTCTCTTTTGGAAAGCATGTAGATACAGTGTGTGTGTTTGACTGTAGCTGTGGTATCAAATTGTGCCGTCACAGCTTTGGGCCAGTCGAAACTTTAGTTGTGATCTGTCTGTCTACCTCTCAACCTTCAACCTCTCCTTGTGTTTTCTCTCTCCACACGAGCGCTTCAAGTACGTCTCTCTCTATCCTTCCCCTGGAGCCATTTCACCAGCTTTTCCTTTCTCAAGCATTATTTTCAATCTCAGTGACTCACTGCACTTGTTTTCATCTTTTAACCTTTTCCTTTTTATAAATACCTTGTCAGTGTGAAATCTGGGTGTTAGGGAACAGCAAGGGGAGTGCACAAAGCAGCAGGCTACATTTTTGTATGGACTTTTCTTGGGAACAAACTAACATTCCTTTTCCTAGAGAATAGAAGAAGGCCCTTTGTTTGGCCCACAATGGGGAAATTTCAGTTTGATGAATACACATATTCATACACACATCAAGGCAAGCAGCAAACATCACTTCTGCGCTCCTTATAGGCAAAGTGGGTTAAGTGTCTTGCCCAATAAAACAACCACAGCAGACATCAGTTGGAGTCGGTGGAGAAGGTCTTGTAGTGTTCCCGAATCCACGACCTTCGGACTCAAAGGCCAATGCTCTACAAGCTGAGCCACTGCTCTACCATAATGCTCTACCATAGCCTAGCGCAACTATCTATTGATTCTGTGTATAGGTTTCACATTAGGGCTGGGCGATAAAACGATAACGATATATATTACGATAGACACGTGTTCGATAGCGATAGAAAACGGGGTCGATAGAACTTCGATAGTTTAACTTCACTCCGTTGGAAAAATGGGAAAAAAACACAGGAAGAAAACACAGGAAGTAAAGCCGAGTCAGAAGCGCGCGGCATTGTGGGGGATGTAGGCATAGGCTTCTCGACCAATAACAGCCGAGCAGGAACCGCAAAACTTTCTGGGAAATGCAAAAACACCAACCGCACCATGCGTAGCGTCCATGGATCTATAGCTTGTGTTTCAATGCCGTGTCAATGGTTATGCACGTCCGTGCGCGGAATAACATGTGCGGCGGCAGAGGCAGTGGACAGACCCGATGTATTCGGCGAAAGCAAGAGATTAACTTTTTCCTCGGGAAGCATGTGCAGCACAGAGAGCCGCACGGAGCGGTCACGGGGACACAAGACCCTCGAAAACAGCTAACCAGGAGCTAAACCAGGAATAAACCAGGATTAAACCAGGACTAACAACGAGGGACACAGTGTGAACATATTCCTCCAGCCTCATTCCCCCGTGACTGTAAACAAGGCTGCTAAGGTTTGTTGGCCCACACAACAAATGTATTTATTTAGGTAAAAAAAAAAAAACAATCAATATATATTGTTATCGACCGATATGAATGACTTATATCGTGATATAGTTTTCAGCCATATCGCCCAGCCCTATTTCACATACATAACGTATAATAACTATAAGTATGAGGGCTATAAAATTAAAGTAATGTGCTTGTACTGTAGACAAAGGATCCCAAATGGGGTCCCCACTTGCGCTATAGACCCCCAAAGGTTACCAAAATCACAAGACAGTTAAAAAATTGATGGAAAATTGTATTTTCCCTTAAAACAGCTTCCTCGTTGGAGTGTTTTAAATTTCGACCTAATACCCACTTTTACGGAATTTCCCTTCTGCCTCCCCTCCCGCCCCCACCTCTTCACACGTCCCCAGCCCAGTGGACACCGCCCAGTGGACATTGCCTTTGGCTGCCCCGGGCCCTCCTGCCCCCACACCCCCAGCCCCCACCTCTGACAGTACACCCCGGTCCCCCCCCTCTCCATCAGACCGGACCAGGTGAGGTGTCAGCTCCAGCAACTGAAGCAGAGGAAATCCGCAGGACCGGACGGGATCAGTCACAGGCTGCTGAGGACCTGTGCAGACCAGCTCTCTGGGGTCCTCAGCTACATGTACAACCTGAGCCTCAGCCTGGAGAAGGTCCTTGTCCTGTGGAAGACCTCCTGTGTGATCCCGGTTCCTAAATAGCGCACGCCAAGGAACTGGCTCACTACAGACCAGTTGCACTGACCTCCCACCTGATGAAGACCATGGAGCGGCTCATCCTCACCCATCTCCGCTCCGTGGTCAGCCCCACCCTGGACCCGCAGCAGTTCGTCTACAGGCCCAACATCGGAGTAGAAGACGCCGTCATCTACTTCCTGCAGCGGACGCTGCCCCTCCTGTAGCCCACCGGGAGCGCTGTGAGGGTCATGTTCTTTGACTTGCTTTCAATACCATCAGGCCGGCACTGCTGCGGGGGAAGATGGAGGACGCGGAGTGGACAGTAGCCTCACTGCATGGACCATCAACTACCTCTCAGACCGACCACAGTACGTGCGGATGCGCATCTGTAAGCCTGAGGCGGTAGTCTGCAGCACTGGGGCCCCTCAGGGCACTGTCTTCTCACCGTTTCTCTTCACCATCTACACTTCGGACTTCACATACGGACAACTTCCGGCGCCAGCTCCCGCTGTGCAGCTCGTCACTTTGGCTCTCTTCTCTTTCCGACCCTTTCTCTATTTATTTCTTGTAGATGCTTTTTTTATTTTTTATTTTCGTAGACAAGCGTTATTTGTGCATTGTGCACACGGGAAGCCTAGCCTCGTGGACTTTCTCATTGGATTAACATGACTTCGGCACTTTTTTTGGAGTCCTCCGCTCACAGAGCCACGAGACCAGCGTGTCCCATTGTTTACACACGGGAGCAGCTTCTCGGACTTAGAGACTCCGCTTTCCGGCACTCAGAGAAGCCGGTGATCCCCTTGGAGATCCGTAGGAGACGCAGGGTCTCCAGAGGAGGCCGAAAGAGGAAGAAGAGACCGTATCTCCCCTCCATCCTCATGGGGAACGTACGGTCCATCTCTAATAAGACTGAGGAGCTGACCGCACTGGTCCGCCATCATAAAGAGTACAGACAATGTGGACTCATGTGTTTCTCTGAGACGTGGCTGTGTGGCAGGGACGTGCAGTCAGGGGAGGCAGGGGAGGCAGAGCCTCACCTGCCATTATTGGAAACTAATAATTATTTTAGTTTAAATATATAATTTATATCCACTGTCCTATGCTTTTAATGTATATTCGGCACGGTTCCCATCAGTTTTGATCATTTCTGAAGTCAAAATCGCCGAAATCCCGTTATTCCTATTCAAAGAGACGAGGTGAGGCAGCGCTCCTGCGTGCCTCACCCCAGACCGCTCCCTCACAGTGTGTGTGTGTGTGTCTGAGTGCACTCAGCTCGTGCAGTTGATATATCACCGTTTGTTTCAAATATCCTGCTTTAAAAACATTTTTTAAACTCCTCTTAGTGTTTAGTAGTGTATTGCACGTATGTGTGTACAATTTATATTTAGTTTAAGTCTTTTGATCGTAGATGAACACACAAGGAAAAAGCTTGGCGTGAGGCAGGCGGTATCTGTGCCTCACCGCTAGGGGTGATAGTGAGCATAAAGTTCATACCAGAGTTGCTAACAAACAATCAGCCCAAAATGCTATTTCTTTTGCTGGAAAATGGATGATTTGAATGAAATTTTTTTTTCTCAATTGGACTTTCAAACAAAGAAAGAATTAATATAGACTGGGAGACCACCACTGGACTTACGAGGTTAGTCCGGCTGCGGGGGAGGAGTTTGTTAATCTGTGTTTTATGTTGAACATTGACAGATACCGGCAAAGTAGTGCTTTTCCGAAAAACACTGATTCAAACACTGCTCAAGAGTTCTGCAACTTGTTTAAATTATTGTTTATGTTCCTCGCGTCTCTCTCTCCTCGCGTCTCTCTCTCCTCGCGTCTCCGTCTCTCTCTGCTCCTCGCGTCTCCGTCTCTCTGCTCCTCTCCGTCTCTCTCTGCTCCTCGCGTCTCCGTCTCTCTCTGCTCCTCTCTGTCTCTCTCTGCTCCTCTCTCCTCGCGTCTCTCTCTCCTCGCGTCTCCGTCTCTCTCTGCTCCTCGCGTCTCCGTCTCTCTGCTCCTCTCTGTCTCTCTCTGCTCCTCTCTCCTCGCGTCTCTCTCTCCTCGCGTCTCTCGCACCTGCGCTTCTTAAAGATGTTGTTTGATGCGGAGCAGAGTCAGCAGCTAGATTTGTTGTGAGATTATTAAAAGAAGCTGGTTCTCTTATCTTTACAGTATATAAAGTTTGTGGATGTCATTGCATTGGTGATTAAATGCTATTTTATTTGAATAATGATTGTAAATCTGACTTTTAAAGTCAGTGCCTCCCCAATCACAAACCTCACCGCACGTCCCTGCTGTGTGGGAATATACCGGACTCTGTGGTCGCGCTAGAGGGAATTAAACTTGTGCGAGCGGACCGCTGCGCGGAGGGGAGTGGGAAGAGGAAAGGCGGGGGTGTCGCGGTTTACGTGAACGAGCAGTGGTGCATCCCGACGCACGTGCATGTAGTTCAGCGTACATGCACACAGGACCTGGAGCTGCTTGCTGTGAGCATGAGACCCAGGTATCTGCCGCAGGAGTTTTCACACACCGTGGTTGTATGTGTTTACGTTCCGCCGTCAGGAGACGCAGCTGCAGCATGTGAGGAGATACACAGAACTGTGACCCAGATCCAGACCCGCAGTCCCCGCGCTCTGATTCTGATCAGCGGAGACTTTAACCACGCCTCCCTCTCCGCCACTCTCCCGACATTCAAACAGTATGTTACGTGCCCAACTCGTGGCAATAAGACTCTGGACCTACTGTATGTTAATGTGCGGGACGCATACGCCTCCTCCCCCCTCTCGGACGCTCTGATCACAGCCTGGTCCGTCTGTCTCCGGAATACACACCAGTGGTGAGAAGAAATCCAGCGCAGAAGAGGATTGTAAAAGTGTGGAGCGATGATGTGGATGAGATGCTGAGAGATTGTTTTCAAAACACTGATTGGGAAATGATCTGCAGCTCTCATGGTGAGGACATCGAGAGCCTGACACACTGCATTACAGACTATATTCTCTTCTGTGTGGATAACACTGTACCAACTAAGAAGGTGCGGTGTTTTTCTAACAACCACCCATGGGTGACCCCTGAGCTTAAAGCCCTCCTGAACCTCAAGAAAAGGGCTTTCATCTCAGGGGACAGGGAGGAGCAGAAGAGGATCCAGCACGAGCTCCAGTGGAGGATCAGGAGGGCCAAGAAGGACTATGGGAAAAAGCTGGAGCAGAAGCTGGCCCAGGGAAACGCCCGCGACGTGTGGAGAGGCCTAAAGAACATCTCCGGCTTTGGACAGAGTGCCAGAGGGACAGCGGATGGAGACCAGCACCGGGCGGATGAATTTAACCAGTACTTCAACCGGTTTGATTCTCCCCCCTCTCCATCTGCCCCCCCTCCCGCCCCCACCTCTTCACACGTCCCCAGCCCAGTGGACACCGCCCAGTGGACACTGCCTCCGGCTGCCCCGGGCCCTCCTGCCCCCGCATCCCCAGCCCCCACCTCGGACAGTACACCCCAGTCCCCCCCCCCCTCTCCATCACACCGGACCAGGTGAGGAGTCAGCTCCAGCGCCTGAAGCTGAGGAAATCCGCAGGACCGGACGGGATCAGTCCCAGGCTGCTGAGGACCTGTGCAGACCAGCTCTCTGAGGTCCTCAGCTACATGTACAACCTGAGCCTCAGCCTGGAGAAGGTCCCTGTCCTGTGGAAGACCTCCTGTGTGATCCCGGTCCCAAAAACAGCACACGCCAAGGAACCGGCTCACTACAGACCAGTCGCACTGACCTCCCACCTGATGAAGACCATGGAGCGGCTCATCCTCACCCATCTCCGCTCCGTGGTCAGCCTCACCCTGGACCCGCTGCAGTTCGCCTACAGACCCAACATCGGAGTAGAAGACACCGTCATCTACTTCCTGCAGCGGACGCTCTCCCACCTGGAGCCCGCCGGGAGCGCTGTGAGGGTCATGTTTTTCGACTTCTCCAGTGCTTTCAATACCATCAGGCCGGCACTGCTGCAGGGGAAGATGGAGGACGCGGGAGTGGACAGTAGCCTCACTGCATGGACCATCAACTACCTCTCAGACCGACCACAGTACGTGCGGCTGCGCAGCTGTGAGTCTGAGGTGGTAGTCTGCAGCACTGGGGCCCCTCAGGGCACTGTCCTCTCACCGTTTCTCTTCACCATCTACACCTCAGACTTCACACACGACACACACAGCTGTCACCTGCAGAAGTTCTCCGACAACTCCGCCATCGTGGGCTGTGTGTCTGAGGGGAACGAACTGGAATATCGGTCGGTTATCAAGGACTTTGTCAACTGGTGTGAGCGCAACCACTTGTGCTTGAACACCAGTAAGACCAAGAAGATGGTCATCGACTTCAGGAGGAAACCACTTTCCCACAAGCTGTTGAACATTCAGGGGGAGAACATTGAGCTGGTGGACAGCTTCAAGTACCTGGGTGTTCACATTAACAATAAACTGGACTGGTCCCATAATACTAACGCCCTGTAAAAAAAGGGCCAAAGTCGCCTCTTCCTTCTGAGGAGGCTGAGGTCCTTCGGAGTGAGCAGGCCTCTGCTCAGGACTTTTTATGACTCTGTGGTAGCCTCTGCCATTTACTACGCTGCCGTGTGTTGGGCCCCGGGCAGCACAGAGCGGGACAGAAACAGACTGAACAAGCTGGTCAGGAGGGCCAGCTCCACTCTGGGCTGCTCCCTGGACTCTGTGGAGGAGGTGAGGGACAGGAGGGTGCTAGCCAAAGCCACCTCCATCATGAACAACACCTCCCACCCACTGCACAGGACTGTAGAGGAGCTGAGGAGCTCCTTCAGTGGAAGACTGAGGCACCCTCAGTGTAAGAAGGAGCGCTACCGCAGGGCCTTTATCCCCACCGCTGTCAGACTGTACAACAAGTCGCTTTGAGTCACTGCACTATGACTGAAAAAACCTGCACTACTATTGACACTTCTATTGACACTTCTTTCTTATTGCCACTTTTTGTACATAATATGTCCTGCATCAACATGTTTGCACATTTCTTACTTTTTGCACAATCTTGAGTGTTTCTATCCATGCCAAATGTGACATGTAAATTTCTCCTGTGTGAGATTAATAAAGTATATCTTATGTTTTAACACCACGTGAGTTAGTGGGCTTCTGTTTTATTTATGTTTTACTTTTCTTTATGTATACACAATTGGTATTTTGTGTTCATAATCATATTTAATAGTTTAATTTATAAAATGTGTACATATATTCATAAATCTGTCAGACTTCTGCTTCTTATGTCTCTCTGTGTATCTTAACTTGTTTATAAAATGTGCTATATAGATAAAGTGGATTAGATTGAAAAATGAATCAAACCTACTAATAACAACTCAAAAAAAGAATCAGTGTCACGAGTTAGTTTAGTTTATTACATCAATTCCCCTTTTTTACAAATCAAATCATTCATCATATATTAATAAGGCATTTAGAACAATGTATACTTAGAGGAAAAACATAAAAAAAATGTCCAGATTCAATTGTGAATTTTTTATCGAAAGCCCAGAGAGTTGGAAGGCCTCAGAGCTGAAGACTTTGGGAATGGATGGTGTAACATTCAAGGCCAGTCAATTTGAGTGTAGAGAGCATTGGTCCAACTCAACATACGTGTCTAAGAGGCTATTTGAAGACCAAATATCCATGCAGAATCTATTTAGGCAACTGTTGGCAGCCTGCCTGGATGTTCTTTGTGCGAGGGACAGCACAAACAACTTTGCAGCAAAGGTTTTGTGTGCACAAGAAAAAGACAGATGACAGATTGATGTGGGCAGTGTGATTGATAGCTGCTCATTGAACTGTTCCGTTTGTAGGCATGCCTCAGCCACAATAGTTGACTGTTTCGGTGCCTGCATGGGGACCCACCCTAGATTTTCTGTCCTCTTCCTTTTAAATAAATGAATAAACAAATATGTTTTCTCTCTCTGAAATAAAAAGATATAATAAATGCTACTTTTCTTTCACACACCAACAGGAGTCTGCAAGCAAGTGAACAAGAGCTGCAGCAATTCCACTCCACGACATAAAACCATGACAACTTTATTGTGGCCTGAC